ATACATATTTTATTACGAAATATGTTGAACATTTTCATTTGTATATTGCCATTTGTTTGTATTTATAAATGACTAGGTCCTGTCTTTTATCTATCATTTTCCTGTTGATTTATAAGAACTTTTCATATAAAAAGGATATTAACATTTCTTTGCTGACTTGTATGTTACAGTATTCCCCCTTTTCATGTTGCATGTTAATTTTGGTAATATGCATTTTTCTTAGTGGTATATAAAGCATTCAATTCAACTCTAATCAATATAATAAATATCAAGCCAATTGACAGAAAAATTTCTCGTTTGTCTTCTAATTCACTAATTTTTTCGGAATTATTCATCCTCGTGCTCACCATCTCCAATGGATTTTTAAATTCAGTAATTTATTTTTGTTCGGAAAGTAGTCTTTCCTAATCTCAGATTGTTCCCTTCATAGATACATTAACCTCTTGAAGCTCGTTGAAAATATGAATTAGATATTTTCTAGCATTTTCTCTGTGTTGGCAATAGTTCTATTTCATGGGAGGTGCTTATCCGATTCCTCATTGTTTCTCTTTACTTGAATGAGTTTTTCATACTTCCTGTTATTTTTCTTTATCTGCCCATCCATATGGAAGGGTGAGCACAGAAATGATGAGTGTCCCTGTTCTGATCTTTCATATCCAGATAAAGGGAGAAAGGAGGCCTTTGTAGTTTTTGGAATTTCACTTTGTCAGCTCAGGGGTCCTGTTCCCTCTAGGTATTTGGGAGAGGGCTGCAGCTGGAGACAGCTGCACAATAGGCAGCCCTGCTGCCCCATGGAGGGGCATCTTCCCCATGTTGGTTTTGTGCACCTCAAAGTTGGAAGGGGTCCACGATCCTCTTTTCTCATTTGCTCAAGGGTCCTTATTTGGAGGCATGAGTGACAGTGTACTGGTCACAGCGAACGTAGCTGGGGCACCACGCTCTGCCTGATGCTCCGGGTGCCGACAGCCTGAGCGTGGATCAGAGCTGGTGACCCTCATCTAGTCCCTGATGGTCTGACCCAGGGTTGTTCATGGGGCTTCTGTTGGGGTTCCCACTGACTGATCACAGCTGATCAATCTCCCTTTACCTGTAGTTTCCAAAGTGTGGGACCCCAAACAGCTCAAGTAGTACATGGTTGGGGCCTAAATATTGAATTGTTCCCTGACAAAGCTATTCTTTCCTCGGTGCTCCTTCAAATCTTAAGATTACAAAGAGAAAGTCTCAGAGAGTGTATCCTTAACACTCTTTGACACTTGCTGCTTGCTGATCTCGCATTTTAACAAAGAGGGCAGGCATTAGTCTTAGAGCCCTTGGTAAGCAGCGCCATCTCCTTGGACTTGAGTGACATTGATTGCATATGTTTATTTGTTTACAGTTACTTTTTTTTGTAACAAATGATATTGACTTTCTGTACAAGGAAGAGATATAAAGTGTCCTTTTAAAGTGAATTTATTACAAAAAAGAGATGATTTAATGAAAGGCATTAAGTCAATAATAATATCCAGATTTAGCAAAATTTTATCCACAAAGGTGGATAAAATTTGCCAACGCTGCTCCATATTCTCACTATTATTTTAATTTGTGGAAATTCCTGGAAGTCCCTGCCTTGTGGACAGCACCCTTTTTGATTTCCAGCAAAGATACAGATGTTCTCTTATTTTTGTATTTCTTTTGGTAATTTTAATGGAAATTTGGAAGAAGAGCCTTGAATATAAATGTGGAGGCGTAGGGGCTTGAATTGTCATCTCTGCTTTGAATCACCTATACTCCTATTTTTAGAAGCTGCTTTGGAAGATTTGTGAATGGAGAAAAAAATTGTGATGAAAATTGTAAATTTGGGTTAGGAAGTCTCTCTGGGAGTGAGGAGTTTGCGGATCTTTTGTCCCTCTGCTGACTCAAATGCCTTTGAGATGTCTCTTTTCCTTCTTCGCTCTCATCTTATCCTCTGACTAGATGGAAACACCTTTGTGCCCAAGAAATAAACTGAAGCCATCATGTTTGTTCTAATAATTTTAATAACAGTAATGATGATGACGACGCCTTTCACTGAACACTTGCTAAATGCCACGCGGCATGCTTATGGTTATACATGCATCATCATGTCTCGGCTTCACAATCATCCTATGGAAAAGAGGCCTTTATTCCAATAATAGAAGAGAAAAATCGAGGCTCAGAGGGCCCAACCAACATATCCAGTTATCCAAGGCGGCAAGGGCAGAGGTGAGGTTTGGACCCAGGCGTAGTCTGACTCCAAGTCTTGTGTGCTTAACCACTAAGGAATACCATTTCTCAAGAAGTTGAATACGGAACCCTTTGGGAAGGCTTCTGCAGAGAAAAACAGCGTGGTGGGGTTAAGTCCGTCGTCATCTAGATGCATCTGAGTGCCAGGGGTGAGGCGGCAGCGTGCGTAAGGTGAAGGTGGTGGAAAGGCTGGGTGAGCGTGATGGGAGTACACGGACAGGGGGAGATCTCTGCGGCCTTCTTTCAGAATGAGGAGGCACTTGATGGACAAAAACGGGGTAGAAACATACAGTATTGAATGATATAACTAAGAAAAGTGTGTGTGGAGAGAGACAGACAGACAGAGAGGGAGAGAGAACGTAACATCCTATAAGCATAGAATATACCTTTTTTTCTCTTGTCCATGGAACAGTTACAAAAACATATAGTGTACCCAGCTGTACACACACACACACACACAAACACACCCCAAAACAAAAAACCCCAAACACATTTTTTGAAGTAGAGCTTTTTATAGGCCTCCTTCTCTTATCCTAATCAACAAAATCATATCAAGTAGAGTCATGGAATTTGTCCTGCCCCCTTGTCTCCCTGTAGGTTCAAGTTGCTGAGCCAGGAGGAGGGCGAGTACTTCAATGTGCCGGTGCCTCCGGAAGGAAGCGAGGGCAGTGAAGAGCTGCGGCAGAAATTTGAGGTGAGATGCCTTTCTTTCTGCGTCAGTGGGTACCGGTTGAGTCTGCCTCTGTGCTGGGTTTTCTGTTTATGGTGTGGTTTCTACCAAGGCCTTTCGTGACTCTGTGCCTTTGTAATGTTGTTCTATCTCCCAGGAAACTCCTATTTATCCTTCAACACCCCAACTCAGTGTTCCTTGCCTTGCAAAGTTGTTCTTGCCTCCCTGTCCTCATTCAGGTTTAGACCTTTCCTCAAAGGTGCTCCTTCATTGCCCAGGTCATTTTGATGGTGGCTTGGACTGGGATGGTAGTGGTGGTGAATGGAAGAGGTAGGGAGAGTAGCGGTGTATTTTGGAGGCTGAGTCAGCCAGGCTTGCTGAGGGATAGAATCTGGATTCGCATCTATCGGTGGGATGGTGCTGTACTGTTAACAAATGGAATTGATTGTGCTGGTGACTTCATGAAATGCCCATGGGTGTGTGTCTTCTGATGAATGAGAACCCTCAGCCCTGACCTTGGGCTGTAGTGCTGGCTCTGCTCTACCTCAGATGAGCCCCTTCCTTTCTGTGGGGCCAAATGAACCCCATTTTCATCTTTATGAAGGTATCCGGTGCGTAGGACACATCCTAGTTTTATAAAGAAAATATTTTAGGGAAGATGGGTTTGAGTACTTTCATTATATGTGTGTTGAATGATTTTAAAGTAGTTTCGTAAGGGAAAACACATCATTTTGTTCACGCAAACTCAATATTCTGAGTCTGATGGGAAATCACAGTTCTAGATAAGCAATGATGGCCTTCTAACTGAAAAAGTATATAAAATAGCTAAAATGAAATAGATTGCCATCATTGTTATTCATCAAATAATCACACAAGCGAATAAAAAAAATCAACCAGAGAAAGTTCTGTGAAAGAGTGGTCCATGGTGCTTTGGGACTACATAAGAGGGAAATGTAACCTTGTCTGAGAGGACAGGGAAGGAGTCATTGAGGAGACAACTGTGGAAGTTAAGCAAGTAAAGAGGGGAAAAGAGCATTCCATTCAGAGAGGTCAGCATGTGCAAAGGCCCTGTGGTGGGGAGTTCTTTAGCAACTATGTGAGACTGAAAGGCGGCCAGTGTGAGTAGAGCAGAAAGAGTCAAAGTTGAGTTCGAGGTCAGGCTGGGGAAATAAGTGAGGGTCAGAGTAGAAGGGCTGTGCTGGCCTTAGCAAGGATTTTGCCATTTATCCCAAGAGCCATGTTACTCTCACCCCTCAACTTGACAGAAATAGCACTTGAGTATTGACCCTTGTCTTGAGCCTGTGCCCTCCACAGAACCTGGACTGTGGTGACGGTTCCCACCCTGTGGGATATCCCTTCCTAGAAACAAATGGAATAAACATGTTGGCCCTGAGCTTATCAGTCATTCTCCAGTGAACTTGGTAACTGAGAGCCATTTCCGTAGTGCCTGCTCAAGCCCGAAGGAGTTGATAAAAGAACTTTCTCACCCAGTAGAGCTGAGAACTGGACACTGTTGATTAGGACAGGAAGGCAATCCTTCCAGAAAACGCTCTGCATCTCTTTCCCTCAACTTTCTGACGAAGTGGTGTCCCTTTGCTGCTGTGTTAAAAATGTACTATTATGGGTAAAAAAACAAGGCCAGTCTTTTCTTGTAAAATGAAGGCTCGGTTTTACAAAATGATTTCTTCTGTCCTAGGGCAGCTGGGGTGACATTTGAGAACACCAAGGAAAACATTGCCTATGTGAACAGAGCATTAGTCTGGGCCAGTCATTGGCTTGACATAAAGGACTGTTTTATCTGTGTGCAACAAAATGTGTCCCTTTATTCCTAGCAAGAGCCTGCAAACGCTTGTTTGTGCCTGAATTAGAATCGCTCCGTACCATAGTTGTTGATTAAAAAAATGTTTCCAACAGACTGAAAATTGTGCTCAGACACACAGAGAAATTTTAGTTGACCTTGAATGTGAGAAATGTAATCCCTGTGCAAGAACCAATTAGCACCCAGAATGACTCAGAAATTACTTTCAAGCCTCTTATCTGGAGAAATTCTGAGTGACGGTAAAATCGAGCTTCTGGAACTGGGGTAATAGAATTTCACGGAAGAGTGAGCTTGGTGCGGGTGGCGCACATGGTAGATTTCAGAATATCGGGGTGGGCTCTGTGTGGGGGCTTTCATCTGACCGTGGGCTTGCTCATGGGCGAGGGAAGAGAAGACTCCATTTCGGATGGTTCAGGATAGGTTTTCCAACAGTCTTAGAAGTTTTTAGTTTAATAAAATGCTTCCTATGTGCCATTTGTCATGTGCTTTAGAAATATTGACTCGTTTAACTCCATCTTCAGAGCAACCCTGAATGGTAGGTTCTATCATCATCCCCATTTTTCCTGTACTGATGAGGAAACTGAGGCCCAGAGAGGTTAAGCAACTTTCTAGCATCCCAAAGCTGGTCATGGTCCTGCTTTGAGTTTTCACAGAAGCAGACCATAAGGATCCAAATGCAAGTGGTTTCTCTGGGCGGTGACCCCAGAGCATCGTAGAATAGTGGGGAAGTGATGCGGGGACAGGAAGGGAGCCGGAAGAGTGCGTCTTCTCAAGGTCCCACTGTGGGCAGCTGGGGTTTAACCCAGAGGAGAACTCTGGGAGTTGAATGCACGCCGCAGGGTCTCCCAGCCAAGGAGCAGGAGCTGAAGTATTGCCCACCAGCTCCCCGTCCATCTCTGGCCAAGGGCTGCTTCTAGGGGAACTGACTTGCCAGTACTTTCCCCTTGCCCTGCCTGTGGGCTCTGCCTGCCCCAGCAGCCGGGAAGGGAGCCCACGGACAGCGTCACAGCTGTAGGCGGTCAGCAGCCCCAGGTGTGGCGAGGAGAGCGCCAGGGGGTCTCGGCGGGACACCGGGCGCATCTGTGCCGTGCAGCCCATTTTCTTTTCAGGTGGTTCGCGAGCCAGGCTGCTGCTGAGTGTGAATCCCAGCTCTGCCCCTTCCTTGCTGAGCGCTGTTGGCAAGTTACTTGTTCTCTCTGAGCTTTTGATTCCCTGTCTGTAAAATGGGGGAATCATCTACTTCTGGCCTCATGAGGTTCTGTGAGGATTGAATGAGATAATGCATTTAGCACAGCATCCAGCATGTCAGAGCATTCCAATGTCGGCTCATTGTTGTCATTAGTAGCTCCCCTGGGGATAAAGACAGCCTAGGACAGGGGTCGGCCCGGTGGTGTAGTGGTTAAGTGCACGCACTCTGCTGCTGGCGGCCCAGGTTCAGATCCTGGCCGCGCACCGACACACCACTTGTCAGGCCGTGCTGTGGTGGTGTCCCATATAAAGTAGAGGAAGATGGGCACGGATGTTAGCTCAGAGCCGGTCTTCCTCAGCAAAAGAGGAGGATTGGCATGGATGTTAGCTCAGGGCTGATCTTCCTCACAAGAGAAAAAAATGCCCAGGATGTGCTCTTTCTGGGCTTAGGAAGGGCTGCGTGGGGGTTGGCGAGCATCTACAGGGACTCCTAGCCTGCTGAGGTCTCTGCCCCACTGCTGGGCACAGGAGTGTCCGGAGGAGCTCCTTGTAGGGGTCAGGGTGGCAGAGGAGTCTGGTTTAAGCCTGGACAGGAGTGAATCATCTGAGCAGAGCCCTGGAGCCTGGCTGCTGGGGTGCCCTCACTCTCCCCAGCGCAGTCTGGGAAGAGGCAGGGCTCTCTGCTCAGAAGTCAGTCTGTTTGCTTTCTCTCTGAGCAGCGAGTTCTAGCGCTCTAAATTGCAGACATGAAAAGCAACCATTAGTATATTCCTGTGTCTGCAGGTGTACCCAGCCCAGCAAGATAAAGGATAATTTTCATCTGGGCCTCAGTTTCTGTTTGATGGAGGACCCGCTAAGGAATCACGAGACTTTCAGAGGGACACAGGACAGGGTTCTTGTCCTCCGAAGGCTCGCTGTGTCAGGGTCACAAACTCAAATGAGAACTGTGTCATGTCGGCGTTGGGAAAGGCTGTCCATTCAGAGGTGAGGGAGCTCAGGGAAAAGAAACCTCTAGGCACAGGGGACAGCAAGTGCAAAGGCCCAGGGGCAAGCATGCGTTTGGGACTTTCAGAGAACAGCAATGAGGCCAGTGTGGCAGCAGCAAGGAGAAAGGGCTGAACCCAGAGTGGGCGCAGAGGGCCTGGTCATCTGTGGCCTTTGGCTGGTTCTCTGTGAGAGACGGAAGGTGTGGGATGTTTGCAGGGACAAGCGTCGGGAGCCAACTGGCTTGCTCAGGATCACATAGCTTATCCATGCCAGAGTCTTTTAGCCTCACAGCTTTCTTGCTCCTAGAAGCGAATCCGGTAACAAAGTCCTGGTCGCTGCAGGTCTCACTGCTGGTGTCCTATTCTCCCCTCATTCCAAAGCCTTTGCTGCCATTCTGAGTCACCGTTCTGCTGCTCACAGCAACGAGCCCTTCCCCCACCGCATGAGGACAAACATGGGCCTTATTCGTCCATTTATCCAACAAAATATTTAGCCGGAAACGATCCTAGTTGTCAGGGAAATGGTAGAGAATGAGACATTTGGTGCCTTCGCAGAGTTTCCAGTCTACTGGGGGAACAAATGAACAGACAATTATCATCCGATATAAATGGGAAGTGAGGTGGATGAAGGGAGAAAATAGGGACACCTAATCCAGACAGAGGGGATCAAGGAAGGCTTCCCTGAGGAAGTGAAAACGTGAAGCAGGGGGTAACTAGATTGGCAAAGGGGAGAGAATAGCCATCCACACAGCAGCAACAGCATGTGCAAAGGCCCTGAGGTAGGAGGGGCCTGGCACATTTAAGGGCATGAAAAGAGAATGAAGCTGGGTTGCGGGGAAGAAGGGCACAAGAAGTGGTGAGATTGGAGAACCAGGTAGGGCCTGATCATACTGGGCCATATAGGCCAGTGGAAGCATCGAGGTCTTTATCCTAAAAATAATGGGTCATTACTGAAGCAGGTGGTGACTTGGTTGGATGTGAAGAAGTGGAAACTCACTCTGGTTGCATGTGAAGCCCAGGGTGGAGGGACCAAAGTGGGCTATCCAGGTGAGAAATGATGGCAGGGGATGTTGATGGAGATGGAAAGAAGTAGATGAATTCTAGAGACAGCTAGGAGGGAAAAAAATGACTGCTCCTGGTGCGGATGAGACATGAGGGATAAAGGAGAAATGGAGGTGCCGAGGACGGTCTCCAGGTTTCCGGCTTGCAGCGTGGATGCTGACCAGGCTTTTATTCACTGAGATGGGGGCGTGAGCCACAGGAACCACAGCTTGCACCATGTATGTGTGTCTTCCTCCAAGGGCATCTTCAAACCCTGATGATGTTTTCTGTGTGCTTCCCCCTCCAGAGGGCCAAGATCAGTCAGGGGACCAAGACCCCAGAAGAAAAGACGACCAACACCATATCCAAATTTGACAACAATGGGAACAGGGACCGGATGAAACTGACTGATTTTAACTTCCTGATGGTGCTGGGGAAAGGCAGCTTTGGCAAGGTATGGTATGGCTTGGTGGCTGCACCCACTCCAGAAGAACAGCTAACAAGGCAGGCACATTTGCTGTTCATATGGGGCTTACACTGGGGGAGGAAGTAATGTCAATAGGTCTACGCTACAGTTCGTAATGAATACCATGAAGGAAATGAACAGAGTGCTGTGCCACAAACAAATCAAGAGGGGACTCACTCAGACTGTCTGAGGAGATGACATATAAACTGAGACCTGAAGGATGAGAATGAACCAGCTGTGCATTCCAAGGGCTAGGAAAGAATGTTTCCAGCAGGGAGAGCAGCAAGTGCAAAGGTCCTGAGGTGAGGAAGGGCTTGGTGCATTCTAGGTACCACCAGAAGGTGTTGGGGCCAAAATGTCATGAGCAGGGGGAGGTAGTAGGATGTGAGGTTGCAGAGATGGGCGGGGGCCTGATCATGCAAAGCCTCATGAGCTATGATGAGGAGTTTGGATTTTATTCACAGTGCAATGGGGAGCCATTGAAAGTTTATAAGCAGAGAAGTGACATGATCAGATTTGCCTTTGGAAGAGATCACTCTCGCAGCCAAGAATGGAAACAGTTCCTTTTGAGCAGCAGCACAGTTGAAGGATGACCCTGGGACTCATAGAGTGATTCTGGATGCTTTTATAGATACCAGGAGACGCTGTTTTACTGAAGTTGAGATTGTGTTATAAGTATTCCTGACTTGTTTGGTGTTGCTTTGAGTCTTTTAATCCCTTTGTGTGCCACAAATCTGTCTAGTATCAATCTCATACCACAAACTCAGGGGCACAAAAAATATAAATTTCTTCCACCTCTCTGTACCTTAAGTCAAAAATCTGGGAGTTATCCTTGAGTTTTCCTCACCCTCCCCTTAGCCCAGCCATGTATATTCCGTTGGTGAATCCTGCCAGATTCTCCTCCAAAGTCTGTCATCAATTTACTGACTTCTCTGCATCTTCACTAGTGCGCCACTAATCTAAACCGTGTCTACCACCTGGACCACTGCAGAAACTCCTAACTGCTTTCGCCGCTTCCATTCTTGTTACCTATAATCGATATACTTTCCATTTAGCAGCCGTAGTCATTTTTAAAAACTTACATTGTCAATTCTCTCCCCTGCTTAAAACTGTCCAACGACTCCCCATCACAATTAGAATAAATTCTGTACTACGTCCTCGGCTTACATCGCTCTTGATAATCCGACCCTTGTTCTCTGCTTGGCGACTTCTTTTTCTTCTCTCTGTCATGCACTGTGCTCTGGCCACAGTGGTGTTTCTTGGGGTTTTTGAAACGTACAAAGTTCCTTCCTCTGTTTAAGCTTTTGTGATGCTGTTCCCTTTGGTCTTTGCAAGGCTGGCTCCTTCTTGTAATTCTCATCTCAATTTAGATGTCACCTCTTCTGAGAAGCCTTCCCTGACCACCCACTCAAAGAGCCACACATTCGTTCTCCGTTATATTTAACTCTTTCATAGCACCTGTCACCAGGTGATACTTTCCTTGTTTGTTTATTGGTTGGTCTTTCTTCTTCTTCTATCGAAGCCTCGCAAGAGCAGGGACCTTCTCTGTCGTGTGCACCACTGAACTTCCAGTGCGTGTGGAGTGACTTCCTTCAGGGCCTAGATTGAATGCATTATTTTTCTCTATCTAAGGGTCACAAGGTCATCTGCTGAGATGGAAGAAGGGATCTGAGGTGGTGGTCCAAAGTTTGAAGAGCCTCAGCATGGAGTGAGGATAGAGAGTAGGAACGCACACTAAGTTTGCTGAGCAGCTCCGAGGTCCAGAAAGTTAGAGAATGAGCAGTTGGTGATGGAAGTGGTCCACACCTCTGTGTGCTTTTTGCCAGGAACTCTGAGCAACCTGGATGTGGAGATGGAGAAGTCGATGGTGGATTTGAGCTAAGGGTGGGGATTAGCTGGACTAGCAAACCAGAAGATTTCAGTAATAAAGGAGTTAAGGATTCTGGGCAGAGGGACGCCCGCTGCAGATCCAGTGGAGTCCGCTTCTAGGGTGCTCAGTAAAAGTGTACTGAACAAATGAATAAAAATGGTATCTAGAGCGGGCCGGGAAGGAAATCAAAGCAGGAAGAGAGTCATAACCTGGGTGGGAAAGGAGTCCAGAGGCCTAGGCTCACAAGCAAATGGATAAGATCAAGAGATTTAAAATGCTAGGAAGGGGCCGGTCCCGTGGCTTAGCGGTTAAGTGCTCACGCTCCGCTGCTGGTGGCCCGGGTTCGGATCCCGGGCGCGCACTGATGCACCACTTCTCCGGCCATGCTGAGGCCGCGTCCCACATACAGCAACTGGAAGGATGTGCAACTATGACATACAACTATCTACTGGGGCTTTGGGGAAAATAAATAAATAAATAAAATGAAAAAAAAAAATAATAAAATGCTAGGAAGAATACAAGCATGTAGATTTCAAAGCTGGAGTGGTATCCGTGATGACAGTGAAGAAAGTGGCCTAAGTGAAGAAGAGGTTCTACTAAGCTGAGGCTGTCGGGGAATTTAAAACATTACATTATATTTCTAATAAGCATGTATTCCCATGGTTCGTAATTAAAATTATACCAAAAGGGTAAACATCGAGAAGTCTCGCTCCCACCCAAGTTCACATCTTTCTGTGCCCCCTCGCTGCTACTGCCCTCCGAATATAAACACTGTTAATTTAATTTGCATCTTTCCAGTTTCCCTATGCTAATTTGAAAAGTATAAATACGCGTTTTTATTCTTGTCCTTCTTACCTCAAAAGTTTTCATACTATACACATAGTTCTCTGCGCCTTTTTGATCACTTAGCAATATAGGTTAGAGAGTTTTTGAATGAGGAATGGAAGTTCTGGAGGGTCTTATGGAAAGGATTGGGGTTAGGGGGTGGGTGAAGAAATGGGTCACTGGGGAGCAGTGAGGGAATGAGAGCAAATAGATCATATGTTTCCATGGAAACTGTTATAATAATTGAGAGCTCTGTGCCAGACTGGGAATGTGGCATCAAATACATCACAGATGAAAATAACAGTATGTCATGAAAGCAAAATGGAATAACAGAAACCCCTGTGATCCTTTAAAGCATAGAGTCATCCTTTGCAACTCCAGTTTTGCTAACTATGGTTTTAATGTGGTTTTATATTCGAATGCCTACTTTTTAACTTTTTGCAACCTTGTTAGGTACATCGATCAAGCCCCTTAAACAGACGAACACAACAGAGTAGTCGCTCTCCCCCTTCCAGACAGAGATGGCAGAGATTGACCTTTGGGGTAGTCCGTTTACACCTCCCCTCCCCCAGGCCCACCGTACCAGGTCTGGCCCTGAAAAACATGCTCTTCAGCACGATAATAATTTATGGAGCGACTAGGGAGTGACAAGCAGTTCGCTAAGACCTGTGAACATGAAACAGGGAGAAAGCAAATGGGAAGGCCATTGAGTTCCAAACAAGTGAGCCTGTTTCAAACACTTTAAAAAGAAGAGCAGTTTGGAGAGTTTGCTTTCCCAAACAGGTGAGAGTGTTCACCTGGAGGGGTTGTCTTACCAGAGCAGGGGCTCTTGGCGTGTCTGGCTTCCTTGGAGATAGACGCCTTCTAGAACTTTCGTTACAGAACATTCGAATGTATTATTCATTTATTATTTAATGTCTATTTTATGGTTTTATCCTTCACTCTCTATTTTTTATGATTTCTTGAACCTTTGACTTCAGCTTTGCCAACCACCACACTTTTTAGGAATGTAACCTCTGTGGTTGTCGAGTGATGGCTGGAATTAAAATTGTGCCCCAGATATATAAACTGGGCAGATACGGACTGTCCAGATTCATTATACAAGTGGACGTCATAAATAAACACAGCAAGTACCTGAGGAAGTATAGACACAGCACAAATACAACTCTGTACATTATAAACTTGACTGCTCTAACCCTAAAGTGCTGCCATAATAAACATCCATTAAATCTTTAATTAATGCTGTTATTGCTTGCCTTCTGAGATTTCAGATGTGTTCGTGGTAATGATTTGTAGGATCCAGATCTTTAAAAAAAGTCATACTGGAAGTTTGAATGGGGGCTTTCTTATTCTTTTATACCTCTGACTCTTGCCTATGGAGGGCACTGTGCTAATGGGGGCGGGGGGAGGCAGGTATATGCCAGGGTGGACATAGATCTAAAATAAGAGTGCAAACCCAACAGCACAAGAGTTCAAACCCAACAGCACAAAAGTCTATGTAAGAGATCTATCATGGAAACTGATTGGTAATAGAAAAAAATGAAGATAGCCCAAGTGTTCCTCAATAGTGTGAAAGTTAAATATATAATGGTGTATCCATGATACATTCAAAAGAATGAGGTCTCTCTCTGTCTTCTCTCTCTCTCTCTCATCTCTATCTGTCTGTCTGTCATCATGGAAAGACGTCCATGACATAATACAAAGGAAAAATAGAAGCAAATCACAGAACATTATGATTGGTAATGGAAAATAAACTGAACATAGAATAATTCTCTTTATATAATGTACTCATGGTCCCTCCTCTCATTAAACTTTTCTTCCAGCAAGTTATTGTGAAAAATTTTAAAAACACAGAAAAGCTGAAAGAATTATACAGTGAACGTCCATAATACCAAAGACCTAGATTCTACAATTAGCAATTGACTGTATTTGCCTTATCACATATCTATCCATCTATCTGTCCCTCCATCAACCCATTTTTTAATGCATTTCAAAGCAAGTTTCAGACATTGGTATACTTTACCCCTAAACTCTTCAGCATGCATATCCTTTAACCAGAATTCAATGTTTGTTTTTGATAATTTTTAAGGTAGAATTTACATACAACAAAATGCACAAATATATTATTCTGAGTTTTGAAAAATGCATACTTTAAAATCCAATGAGAGTGTAGACATTAATCAGAAAATCACACTAACAGATGTAAAGTACAACTGTGATGTTTGCTGTAGGCTGTGAGAGCCTGTGGGAGTGGGATCGGCCCTCGTTGAAGGCAGTGAAGGCTTCCTGAGCA